CTATATAGAAGGTTTATTATACACTTTGAAATTATGCCTATTATTGTTTACCTCTTATTGATCATATTCAATGAGTGATCCTTTTCCATTTATCCTTTTTCAATTATATCCTTATAAATTATATCAAATGTTGTTATACCAGTATATCTTTTATTACACACCCACATTCTACTTATTTCGATTTATCGAATGTTTTTTTGAAAACAAGCCAGTATCACAATGCTGTAACCGTGCCAACTAATCAAATTAAAGTTTACGTTTAGTTTATGACGTTTTACCAGATTAAAGTGTTTATTTTCTCAATGAGACTTATATTCACCTTCCTTAAAACTCAAATGGCTTTGTAATAGTATATTTTGCCTATAAGTTAATAATTTGTTCTAAACTAGTGAAGCGCGATTGCTAATGATTCCGATATTCGCCTCGTTAGTAATTAGTAGTAATCCTGTCATTCGACTCATAATTTAGTAATTCACTAATTTTCGTATTCGAATGATCCGAATGATCATCATTGCTAACCCATAGATATAGATATAGCATAGATTCCATACAGAATATCTGCCTAGCCCTCTCTGACATGCGGTAAATACCGTAAATGCGACGCGGACAGGGGTATTTTGATATGGACATGGTGAATGGTTCCGACATAATAGTCATTCGACTCGAGTCGAATGATTGTGCTTGGATTCGACTCAGGCGAGGGATTTGCCCAATCGAATGATTAGTATTAGTCGCATTCAAAGCAGCGCATCGCTATTCTAAACTACATACAAGGCGAGTTCAAATTGTACTATTAATGACCTGTCCTGCAGATGTCCCGTGCAAATGTTATGGTATGGCTAACAATCAGCATGTAAAATGTGTTTATACCTAGTCTTGCAATGCACATGTTTTCAACTACTAAAAGGTGTGTTATCTGATAGCTTTCAATATGTAGGTACTCGTAATAAAATACGACATATTGGTAATGGTGTTCCAATAGTTTTATTTATATATAATCGTAGTTATCCAGTTGTGAAGTTTAAGAACTATTACAAAATATTTTGACGGCCTAAATAGTCTAACGATTAACACTATTGTGACTATTGTTGACTTGTATCTCAGAGTGACGGGCGCAGAGGCAGTGTAGTGGGATTTGACATGAGAATAGTTATTTTGTTAAATGAGAACTTGTCTGAATAATTTTCCTAAAAAAAGTGAGATTTAAATAAATCCTTTTTTTATGATACCGAGTAACTGCTGCCTGACTGGTGTTAAGCGACACGCCAGTCCATAGTAGTTGCAGTGCCACTCACAGCTTTAAATAGCCAAAATATGAGAGATACTGCCACTGCGTGTGTCACCCTGAGACATAGGTTGACAAGTCCCATGTACCTGTAATTTCACCAGCACCCCTACCCTTAATACCGGAACGCAGTAATATTAACATTACTGCTTGGTAGCAGAAATAGGTAGTGTGGCAGTACTTCTCTGGACAAATTCTCCCACAAGGGGCTTTACTGCTACTAAAAATTTCCCTGATTTCCTTATCTCATTAATAGAAATTGTAAAATAAATACGTCAGTAGGGAATACAATCCGGATAATCCGTAATTAAAAATCCAGTTTTTGTGGGTTTTTCACTAGATGTTGAAATACGGATTTTAAAATCGAATACGGTTTTTTTTTCCATTTTTTTGACGCTTCCGCAACAATGTTTTGGAATTTTGAGCAACAGAATCCTCAGCAGGTTAAATGATAAAATAATTATAAGATCTTTTTTATTTAAGAGAAAGAACAACAGGTTATTCCTAAACACTTACGTTTGTTTTATTTACATTTTTATTGACAGTTACGAAGTGGTATCTTTTTTAAACTTTTTTGTTCTTGTATTTTCTCTATGTTAAAGAGTTTTGAAAACAGATTTTGCCCAAGATCGAGAACAATGGGAAAAGAGAGGGAGGCCTTTGCCCAGCACTGGGATAGAACGAGTTTATAAAAAAAAAATTGAAGTGGACTGATTTCAATTACCTATCCAAAAGATTTATATCCAAAAGGATTACACACACATACACAGACACATACACGACAATTTATATTAATAATTTAGTTATTTATTTATCTATAAAATGAATTCTGTTTTTATAGTACCAGTTTAAAGTTATTTTTCTACCCAATGTTTTAATTGCAATAATAATATCACATATTTTGAATAGGTACGTATTGAGTTTCTGTAATTGGTTTTTGTACTGCCTATAACACATTTGTAAGATAAGTGTGAAAATGCTATAGAAACTTTGTTGTTAAAATAAAATAAAATTTATATTTTTCTATAGCATATATATATAATCACCGCTACGCTCATAACGGAAAATGTCAGCCACTTTTCATCTGATGATCGCAGGTAGGTACTTCTATCAAACAATTTTAATAACTAAATACTTTTTATTTTTTATCATTTCAAGTGACGAGATGAACAAATCATGCGCCTGGTGTTAAAGGTTTGAAGGCCACTGCGCCCGTCACCCTGAGGCACCTTTACCCTTTCAAACCGGAACGCTGTAATGTTCACATTCCTGCTTGGCGGCAAAAAGGAGGTATGGTGGAAATACTTGCTTCGACGAACTTTTTCACAAGAAGCTCTACCACTACTAAATATTTTAAATTAACGAAAAAGTCATGTCGTCGCGTTGCACTTCCTCTACCCTCCTATTGCAACCATTCAGTTTCCTTTAAGAAGATTCACTTTAAAAAAATAAAATGTATTATATACATATATATATATATTTCTTGTAAGCCTTGTTATTAAACAACCAATAATATATTCAGTTTTATATTAGTCAATCTTAGATATCTTCTGGCACTGTGGCCCCTCCATCGCTCTCATTGTAATCAATGTTTATATATCGAAAACGTTAAAAAAACAATTGAATGTTTAAATGTCGGATGCACATACATTACGTATGCCGCAACAAAAAAACTTCGTAACTCCTGAAAAAGGCGTACCTACTCAGTACCTATCCGCAATAAAATCTTTGGCTTATTTATAAGGTTCTAACGAACAGCTGGCCTCTTAGTACGTATGAAAGGTAACTAGAATAATTTGTCTAGCCCGTGACCAGCTTATGTTACTTAGCTGATCCACTGCATGACACAAGACAAGACATTGCTAACCTGTTTCATGGTTACGAGAACAGAAAGACAATACGCGTTCCCTGTTAGGTAAAACAATCCGAGTCTGTTTCTTGTTCGTCTCTTAACTTCAACATTTAATAATGACAGCCATTTGTTGCGGAATTCGTGAGTATTTGTGAGTGGTTCTGGCCCAAAAAAGCAACTTAAAGCCGAACAAGCAAATAATAGTCTGTATCTACGCTTAAGTGTAGTGGCAGCCTAATGGAAAAGCGATTGTTTCTCAATTGAGAAGTCGACAGTTCAAAACTATGTGGCGGTATGTACCTAAGACTTTAATTTGTAAGGAACTAAATATTCACAAATGTGCGTATATATTTATGAATATTTATATATAATATTTAGCAGCAATATCTCTCGCTACCGGCGAAGGAAAACGTCATGATGAGACCTGTGTATCGAGGAATTTCACAACCCAAACAACAAAATGTTTCCCACGAGCCCTCATTTGGCAGCGGAGCGAACTATCGCCTAATCCTTTCCTTAGGCTCCAGACCGGCAGGGGGGGCGTATAATGATCTATGCTTAATTAATTGGACTTATTATTATTTAATGCCTCCTCAGCTTATTCGAGCAATCATAGGCAGGAACTTTTTCAATATTTTTTAATACGTGAACATTTTTGGAACTCGCTACGATTACCACTACCAAACTGCCTTTACTTTGTCGAGGTATTGTTAGCAATCGCAACAATTTTCCAGCATTGCTTCGCTCGCTTATCATAACACGACGCTGCGCATGACGTATTCGTGGCATAGGCGAAGACCATTACAGTTTCAATGTAACTTCATAACATTTCATATTTTTGATCGATGCGTATTCTGTAACGGACCAAATTCTTTACTATGTACCTACTCTAAATAGTAAAAACTCATTGCAATATTATTGATAAACTTCAGGTCAGAGAAATTGGGATAAATAATCAGGTAAAGTTAAGGATATAGGTATTATACGGAATTCGGATCCGTATCCATTGTCCGATCGAATTCTAGACACGCCCATGCTTATGAAATAATTGGTGAGGCGTAGGAAACTATTTGTTTTAAAAGCGTTTCACAATAGTTTAAAAACTAAATAACTCAAGTGAAGAAAATAAGTCTCCCTTAATAATTTCCACTTTCTGTCCTGGCCCACCTGCATCGAACGGCTGCTCATGACCTCCAAGAGATTGTCAATGCACTGACAAGTAAGATAAAAATGAAAATATTTCGATATGACGTTGCTTACTAAAATATTAATCACATAGACATTATACGACTGCAGAAAATTAAACAAAGAACAGCTTATTTTAAAAAAGAGCAGCAATATTGATGTTTCTAGGTCTGCTTAGACTTTAGGGTTTCGATGCTCGGTGAGTGAGAGACGAAATAACAAAAAAAAACATATATTTATACTAAATAAGACAGATACTTTTTGTTTAGTGTCATATTTCACCATCTAATGAAATATATAGTATAATATAATATCTAGTGAAATAATTACATAAATTTTGAAGTTTTACAGGGTTGCTTTAGGGAAAAGCCTGCCACTATAAAAATTGTATCCATTGACTCTCACCCTTAAGTTACGTATTGACTTTGAAGGTTGACGTATAATGAACAACCTAGACGTGCATAAGTAACAATTACTTCAGATTTATATAACTACCTATCGTTTTATACCTTCCCGAATTAGAGAACCTACAAAATAACAAAAGTAGAAGCCAATTTCAAATAATATGGCGAAGCCAATCAGAACTTTGAACTGCGTGGTATAAATGGTGTGACCATGGCAAAAGACTTCATTTCTTCACTCGCTTATGGCGAGCACACTTTCAGCGGCAGTTGTAAATTGTTTTTAACATCCGAACAGTAGTGCAGTGAACATTCGTGTGATAGGTAGTCATTAACCATACAACCATGAAGATTTTAATGCGTGCTGACACCCACTATAGTATTGGTCGGGTCGTTGAATATGAAGAACCGAAATTTACTTTATCACAGGTGCGCGTGGTTAAAATTAATTCATAGATATTGTCCTCAGTAGAAAATCGAAACACATTTTCTATTATGAACTCGTAAAGGATATCAAACAAATTTTGTGAAACATTTTTAGATGTTATGTGGGCTTAATGCGTATGTGGACTTAATTGATTTTTAACTATAACAGGGAAGTAGTATGTTTTGAAAATACTTGTTATTTTTTGCTGTTTAGTGAAAGTTAAGAATAGTTGTTATTACGTCATTATTGCCTGCATCATTTATAAAGTATATTGGAAAACAAAAAAGCATCTACTGTGAATTGAGATTATTTCTAAAAATTCACTTTCAGCACTGAAATCGTGCTAATATTAACTGTAACATGTTTTTGTTCTGTTCACGCATTTTTTTGAATTAGCACGGTGTATTACGTTATCATTTTATGAAAATAAGAAGTCAAACCGCAGCTACATAAATACGTAGCAATTCTGATTTGAAACGCTTTTCTCTTTCATCAATAATATCGAGGACAGATTAAAAAATTTGTATGAAATCAGTTATGTAAAATCTTTTGAATATTATTTACATAGCAAACAATCTTGTTACAAAAACGTGCAATGTGTAATTGACAGTCTAAAGTGGCACAATCAGTGTTGATGATTGTTTAAATTAAACGTTCATACGCGTCGCGCGCGCACACCTCCAAGCCCAATCAAAAGTAAACGTCACTATTTAAAAGTACTAAAATGTGCTATGCCTAACAAAACTGTTAGTAAGAAAAATATTAACCGTAAGATATTATTTATCTTATACAACTTTTAGGTCCTCGCTGCGATAGCAGTTTCAATGGGCTCTATGATCGTCGGCTACTCCTCCGCTTACACTTCACCCGCTTTAGCGTCTATGGAATTGAACACAACGATAACAGTGACTAAGGAAGAGGTAATTAATTAGAGTTTTTATTTTAATCATTGTATTGTATTTGCATCCATTTTGGAGTACAATTAAGAATTTTTGCATTGTATTGTAATGAAACAAAAATTGTTTATAGATTTTTGACGCATACAGTTACAAAGAATGTTTCTATTTTGTGTTTTTTTTTTTTAATTAACAGGCGAGTTGGGTCGGCGGTTTGATGCCCCTCGCTGCTCTTGGCGGCGGAATCATCGGAGGACCTCTTGTCGATTATATCGGACGAAGAAAAACTATACTATTCACCGCAGTGCCGTTCTTTGTTGGCTGGATACTTATCGCTGTAGCTTCAGCGGTACATCTCATTTTGTTAGGAAGGGCAATATGTGGATTATGCGTCGGCGTTGGCTCGTTAGCATTTCCTGTGTACCTAGGCGAATCTATCCAACCAGAGGTCCGTGGAGTTTTAGGGCTATTTCCAACTGCGCTTGGAAATATAGGAATTTTAATTTGCTACGTCGCTGGTAAATACTTAGACTGGTCTCAATTAGCTTATATGGGGGCTGCGTTGTCCGTTCCTTTCTTTTTGTTAATGCTTGCCATCCCAGAAACACCGCAATGGTATCTGTCGCGATCGCGTTCAGAAGAAGCTCGGGAATCATTACAATGGCTTCGAGGTAAGAATTCTAAGATTGACAATGAAATTCGTGATATGGCGATGTGCGATGCACAAAATCAAAGTGATGATTCTAGTTTAAAAGAATTGTTTAGTAAAAAATACATGAAGTCGATCTTAATTTCCTTGGGTTTAATGCTGTTTCAGCAACTATCTGGTATAAATGCTATAATTTTTTATACTGTCGATATATTTAAAATGTCTGGTAGTGCAGTCGATGAAAATCTATCAACAATCATAGTTGGAGTTGTCAACTTCATGGCGACATTCGTGGCAACCCTGGTAATAGATTTTGCTGGGAGAAAAATTTTACTGTACATTTCTGCCATAGTGATGACTATTACGCTAGTAGCAATGGGAACATTCTTTTTCGTGCGGGAAAATCTTCATATTGACGTTTCGCATCTAGGTTGGTTACCTTTAACGTGTTTAATGGTTTATTTGCTGGGATTTTCACTAGGTTACGGACCTATTCCATGGCTAATGATGGGTGAAATTTTGCCAGCAAAGATAAGAGGTCCAGGTGCATCAATATGTACAGCATTTAATTGGACGTGTACATTTATTGTCACAAAAAGTTTTCAAAATATCGTCGATGGTATAGGCCCCGCGGGAACTTTCTGGCTTTTTGGTTGCATCTGCTTTATTGGTATATTTTTTGTCATAGTGTGTGTTCCAGAAACACGAGGAAAGAGTTTAGAGCAGATTGAAAATAAGTTAACTGGGCGACGAATGGCTAGAACAAGACGAATGAGTTCCATCGCTAATATTAAACCACTACCGTTTGGTTGTTAATTAGCTCACATTTATTGTTTGTGCGTAGTAGGAGAATAATCTCTTTATGGTTACTTACAAGTGTGTAGATGTAGGTGCTGTACATAATTAGTCATTTAGCATAACAAGTTTGCAATTTGATAAAAATACATTAACAATTTTTTTTACTCGATTATGAGTAATTGATATTACACGATTGTATTGCAATGTAATTCTCATCTTTACGAGTATGTTCATTTAGTGAAGATATTTTGAATAATTTCCATTTGAATACAAGTAATTGGTATAGTATTATATTGGTGTATTATTTTATAAAGTAACTAGTAATAATATTCTCATCTTTATTTAAATCTTTTAATAATAAGTAATTTTCATTATAGAATTTACCTTTTAATTAAGTAACATTAAATAATTTAAATTGAACAACATGTAATTGTTATTATAATTGGTCAATTATTTTGTGAACATAGTATGTAGTGTATTTTTTATTTTGGCATTTGGGAAAACATCGTTCAGACGTTCGATGCGGTACCACAGTGGGCCCAAATTTATAATTCTTGGACATACGATTCATTTGTGGAGTATCGAGCTAATTTTTTTTATGTGATAGGTAATAACATTTCTATCAACTTTTATTCTTGTATAATTTCTTGTAAAGTTGATAGCTTCGGAAGAAAAAAAAATTTTTTTTTGTATGGAGAAATATACATTTTATTTTTTATCTCAAAATATACGAAAATGTAACGTGCGTTTGTTACTCACAGTATAGTTGCAATCATTTTATATGTAGAAAAAAATAATCCGTCTGCGTGTACTTGCGGCTTTGTAAGTAAAGGTGCGGCAAAATTGCTAACTCTTTTTTGTACTTTTTTAACAAAATACATGAGCTTCGACTAAAGAAAAATTCATTTTAGTGTAATTTACAGAGTGTTATAACAATAACATGAAAGTTAAGTAGAAACTAGTATATTGTGTTAAAAAATAAATAACAAATCTCAAATTTTGACACATTTTTACTCGTAAAGCCGCAAGTACCTGCAGATGGATAATTTTTTTCTTGATAGAGAATGATTGGACCTATATATAAATAAAACCACACACATTACATTTTCCTACATTTCAAGATAAAAAATAAAATGTTTATTTCTCTTAACAAAAAAACTGAACATTTTTTTTTCTCTGAAACTATCAGCTTTTCAAGAAATTACACAAGAATAAAAGTTATCAGGAATGTTATTATTTATCATATGAAAAAAATCAGCTCTGTATTCCTAAAATTGTTCCCACGATTAAATAATAATTGATAATTCTTGGACATAAGTTTAGCTTGTGAAGTACCGAGCAAATTTTTTTTAAGTGACAGATAATAACATTTCTAACAACTTTACACATCACATTTTCCTACATTAAGAGATAAAAAATAAAATGTATATTTCTCCATACAAAAAAATAATAATTTTTTTCTCCGAAACTATCAACTATTCAAGAAATTATACAAGAATAAAAGTTGTAAGGAATGTTCTATCATATTAAAAAGTCGCTACTGTTCGGGCGTCGGCGTAGACGCTCGGGTGTCGAAGCTGCCGATTATCCGTCGTCGCTTGCGTATGGATGCGATCGGAAATTCTCAGAAAGCAGATTCGTTGCAACGTGTGGCGAGCCGCGTCGTACGAGCCGATGCGAAACGCACAATGTCTTTTTCGCTCTTATTACATGGACATAAAAGCTTTTTCTGACCGGCTTATTGCGATTGTGTCTCGATAAGTGTGGTTTATCCCTTATGCTACTATGAAATTGATCACATGTAATTTTGCAACTAAAACTGAGCAGAATACTAATTAAACCTACCTCGTTTTTAGATTATATAAGTATCGAAATTGTGTGTACAACTTAAAGTTTGATAAGTTAGTAACCAGAATTGGTACAAACTTTTTCTCTCAGCACAAACAAATAACTGTAAAATATGAAAAACAACATAAATGGTTCCCTTAAACAACATAATCAGTAACAGTTGAAATAAAACTACTTTTAATATGGTGGTTCACATTCCAATGCATAAACTTGTTTACTCGTATTTATGCTCAACCTGAAATTTTTACAGAGAACAGTTACAAAAATATTACAGGTGGCGACTCACAGGACATCTTTGCACAAATTCCATACATTCGCAATGTGACATTTGTCCACTAGTTATATGTTATTATTAGGATATTTATTTTCCTTAACAATAAAAATTGTTGCAACTAAGGCATGATAACCAGTGTATTCTGCACTAAGCCCTAGGTTTGTATCGCAGGATCCAAAATAGAAAATAACTTAATTTCCAAGCATGTGTGTGGTTATCTGTGAAGACATTCATGTATGAGTACACAAGTGGTTGTGTGTGTTATGCAATAGCGTGTCATGAGTTTCTAATTTTTTAATATTAAGTCTTCAGTTTGTTGATAATCAATATCTAACAGCCATTCTCCTATTTTCTGTTTAAATTGTTTTGTAGTCAGGTTCTTAACTTCAGGAAGTTTAAGGCAAATAGTAGTGTAAATTTAGTTAATTTTATTTTATGTAAGTCTTAGCATCTGCTAAAGGGTTGCTTAACACAAATGTCCATTTTCTCCGCTCTAGTAAATAGTGGGAATATCATCTCACATCTAGGGGTGTTTATTTTATAAAGAAGCATAGTACCATTAACCAAACATTAAAAAGTATTTGGCAGATGTTCACTGAACTTTCATAAGGAAATTTTATTATTTTTATTATGCAAAAGTACAGTATCACAAATAAGTAGCTGGTAGCCAGCAGATCTATAACGAATGTCACTTTGTGCAGGTATATTCTGTATTGGACATATTTACGTGCCCATGTTTTGTCAACTTTCATAACATGCACATTTATTACTAGATTCAAAAAACAAAAGTTGCATTTATTGTATTGTATTTGTTGCATGCATTTACCAATGAAGTGATCACAATTCATCCACTCTACGCTATAGTTCAGTTAGTAAATTAGATAATTAAATCGCTTATTTGTAAATAAAACACCGGCCCTTCGAGTTTCTTACTCATTCTTACATGAACTGATGAAATGATCTGCTTTGCAAATGGGTATGTTATAACAAATTAAACATCCGTTATTAATGGCAATTTGCTTTACCTATGAATAATGTATATTTTAAAATTGTGTTGAACAACTTACCCATAACCTGGACACGGCAAATAGCACAAGTGTCGCATTCCACATCCCAACTCCACATCGCCACGGCATTCCACTTTTTGAGAGTGAACATCTTGTCTAGCTTCTGCCCGTCGTTATCACCTCGATCGGTGGCATCACAATCTTCTCCCGACATCCTCGTTTACAACGTAAAAATCACTAAAACTTTATTTCTGCACCCAGACAACAGCTTACACTGTTTATTTACTTATGATTAGTGTTTACGAAGGTAGCTTTCACATTTTGAATGGTCTCGTGCGTCAAATTATTCATATCTATTCAACGATGTAAATCAAAGTTAAAAAATTCCCATACGTTATGAATGTGACAAGTTAGTGAATAATAAAAAAAATTGTAACGAAATAAATGTTTTCATTTAACAAATTATTTCTTGGCGAACCGAAAACGTACACTTGTACATACATGCGCATAGTAACGTCAACATTGCATTTTTTTTTAAGAGGCTATTTGCATTTTTGTGGCCACGGCAACGACTTCAGTCGAATATATGTCAATCTAATATAAACATGAACAATCCAAAAAACTATATTATGTTCGATTATGTTCTAAATTATTCCAAACACAGAACAATAAATACAGTAGAAGTGGTTAGTTAGCATCCGACGCAGATCAACTATAGGTCTTGAAAGACGTATCAGGACCCTGATTTTATTTCAAATCAGTATCGATCCGATCGGGTAGCCCACCCGCAATATTAAACGCCTCGACTCGGAAAAGACGCAGTTTCCGATCGGGAGAGGATATCAAAATCAAGCTGCAGGGCCTTGATTTTAATTCAAATCAGTATCGATCCGATCGGGTAGCCCACCCACAGTATTATATGCCTCGACTCGGAAAAGCTGGGGGTCGATTCAGAACCTTACTTACGATAACTCAATTGTCGACCGATTTGATTTGATATCGTACGATTTCTATTCATTTTTATTCACAACACCCGAATCGAACGTCAAACTGTGTCGTATTCGAAACCGAATCGTGACATAATACCCGTACGATTACTTCCCGACCGGCAAAGACTACAAACGTTATTCAGAATACAGTTATCGACACAGAACATTATACTTTGATTATCGAATGACAGTTACCGAACGTCCTATTGTTTACAAAGCAAGAATCTATTATTGAAAACTCTTATTATTTTGAATAAAGTCTGAATTTTGTTCAATTTTATTATTGTATTTTAATGCAAGACTATTGCATTTGTGGTGCAGGAGGTGAGTTAGGGTTTGGGTTGTGGGGGTTAGGGGTGAGTTAGGGGTGGATTAGGTGGTGGGTTGGGGTGGGGTGGGAGTGATTTAGTGGGTGAGTTAGGGGTTGGGTTAGTTGGTCAGTCGGGGTTTGAGTTGGGGTGGATTAGGGGGTGGGTTAGGGGTGAGTTAGGAGGTAGGTTAGGGTGTGGGTGTGTGAGTGGATCACTCACCCACCAACTCATCCCCTCACCCACCCTCTCAATTATGAAGCAATAATAACATTTTCACAGATAAGAAATTTATTCCAACTGCCTCCGTGGTCGAATATGGCATGGGCAATATAGTATTTGGGGTGCTGTTGTAACGAATATGGCACTCCTCTCTAAATCCAAGATGGCAGGCACAACTTTTAATGAGTACCCCCAAATACCTCGTAAATGATACCCATATTGCATTTACTTGAAAAGTCGTGTCCGCCAACTTGTATTTAGAAATAAATGCTATATTCGTAATGAGTACCCCCAAATACCTCGAAAACGATACCCAACTTGCCATTATTTGAAAAGTCGTGACCGCCATCTTGGATTTAGAAATGAGTGCCATATTCGTAATGAGCACCCCGAAATACCTCGAAAATGATACCCATATTGCATTTACTTGAAAAGTCGTGTCCGCCATCTTGGACTAAGAAATAAATGCTATAATCGTAATGAGCACCCCCGAATACCTCGAAAATGATACCCATATTGCATTTACTTGAAAAGTCGTGTCCGCCATCTTAGATTTGGAAATAAATGCTATATTCGTAATGAGCACCCCCAAATACATCGAAAATGATACCCAACTTGCCATTGTTTGAGAAATCGTGTCCTCCATCTTGGATTTAGAAATGGGTGCCATATTCGTAATGAGCACCCCCAAATACCGTGAAAGTGATACCCATATTGCATTTACTTGAAAAGTCGTGTCCGCAATCTTGGATTCAGAAATAAATGCTATACTCGTAATGAGCACCCCCAAATTCCTCGAAAATTATACCCATATTATTATCATAACCTACCCCTTAACCCACCCCCTAACCGATCCCCTAACCAACCCTCAACCGACCCCCTAACCGGCCCCCTAACCGACCTCCTAACCGACCCCCTAAACGACCCCTAACCGACCCCCTGACCGACCCCCTAACCGACCCCCTAACCCACCCCCTAACCGAATCATCTATTCAATTACATTAATACTGTAGTAATTTATCACTAATTTACGTATAAACAGAATAGAAATAGGGGGCTGGCTACTGGAGATCTCGATTTTTATATGAAATATAATGCTCAGCCTCCAGGAGCTGACTTTTGGGTAAATCGTATATTTTTCAAATCATGACAAAAATTATATCGTTAAAACCGTTACGTTATTCAAATTTAACTTAACATTCCCTATACACTTTTGTGAAAAACCCGGTAGTCAGCCCTATTAGAAAATGGGTTTTGCGGTATCAATGTCCAGCCGTCCCTTATTATGTAGGTATTATGTATGGGTAATATATTTATTATTTAACTATATTACCGAGGGTATTTTTATTATTTTTAATAAAAAATGGCACCAAGACATTCGAAATGGCATGCCGATTAGGCAGGCAAGCAGAGTAAGATATAAGTACAAATATTTTTAAGTTGATTTTCACCATAGATTTAGTATATAGGATCTATGATTTTCACATATAATTATTGTTGATTTTGATCTCTTTATTATTGATAAGTTTAAGGCTAAGTGTAGGGTACATAGAGGCTGTTTATTGGATTTTAGAGACTGACTATTGGGGAAAAGTGCCATTTTTTCTTTAAACCTAAATATAATATCAGTACAGAAGATTTTTGTTTCTTATATTATTTATATTAAAGCTATAATAACGATTGATCGAACAGTGTGGTACATTTTTTTATCCTACCTATTCTGTACAAATAACTAAGATTCTAAATTTGAAATTCTCGTTAAAAGGCCACTACTGGTGCTTTTGCCCTATATTATCAAAACGTCGTTACTTGTAATAATATATAAAATAATAATAATAATAAGTATTGTTGGTATTGAACTTTCAACGATATGCGACATACCGCTTCGGCTTCGGTTCTGATAGTAATCGGGTCTTAAGGCACTTCCAAACAAAACACAGTGACAGTGTTTTATTTTTGAATTTTGTCAAACAGTATCAATCAGTACCGTATATAGTGCCGTGGACAGACATGGTAGTTTATATCTATTGGGAATGAGTTATGTAGGCACATAATAATTATATTATAATTCCACAACTATGGATAAATATCATAGGTAAACACTCATGTTTACCATAGTTGGGGAATTGACGTAAAGCCCCTGGCAAAGTCGCTATTGGTTGTACAAAACATTTCATTTTGCTTTGACCCAGGGGCTTTCCGCTTACTATTTATAATTATTATATTACTGAAAAGAAAAACAAATTAAGTAAAAAAATACGGTCGAGTTGTTGCTTTGACTTTGACCTTGAGTCAAGTAAGTAAGTACATATGTATCGTTGGTCTCCGGTTAATATAATATATAGCTAAAATTGTAACGTTAAATTCTGAAATAGCAATAGCAATTATAATTTGAAAGAAATAAAGTTTGCTAACATTTCAACGTAATACTTTTGTTTTACTTTGAAAGAAAATGCAGTCACGAAACACGTCCATACATTACTAACTTCAGGGACAAATTTTATTGAAATTAAAATTAGTTTTTACTCAAAAAATCCTGTAAATGGAATTTACTAAATGTCACAAAACATGTTGAAACTTCTAGAAAAAATATTGCGAAAAGTTTATCATTATTATTAAATCCAAAATATAGTTTCATTTCCAATTTTATCTTTAAACATAATCAGGGGAAGTCCAAGAATTGAGGATAGTTACGAAAACTTATCGTATTTTGTATAAAATTAAGTCTGCTTAATTTTAACTTAATAAAATGAAACTGTAGTAAAAGTTAACTTAGATAAATATAAAGTATTTCCAATAAAACATCATTAAGTTCGTGACGGGACGTGACAAAATGAGATCAGGTACCTAATTTTTTAGTATTAGTATCCTTTTGCTAAGTAAATTAATTTCCTAAACACATAATTTAACTGTATAATAATTAATAATAGACATTATGCTGTTGAACATCAACAAAGACGTATTTTTGAATTGTTCACGTTTGTTGTGTGACTTGACAATTTATTGTCATAGTCCTTCAAGTTCAGGGATGTTATAGGTGCGAGTATGTTACTTTATAAATTGATACATTTTATTTAATAACTTGTATTATATTATTTTTTAATTAACGATTGTACTTTATGGCTTTTACACAGCGTGAATTTGTAGTTTGAAAAAGTGACAAATTGTATCGAAGACATAGTTGTCGTTGTTTTGTAGTAGTGTAACCTCTGGTTAAGCTTTTGTTGTTATTATAAATTGAGGCTTAAGCGACACAAGTGTCGTATTCTAGAATTCTACTCAATGCTCAAGTCAGGATTTGAGTATGGTTTAAAGCATTCGAAATCATACTCAAGTCCCTGCCATTAGGATCGTATTTAAAGTGCTTGTGTTTCCAGTGCAATCCTGACTTGAGCATTGAATAGAGTTCTAGAATGCGACCCTTAAGAGTTCGAGTGCTTTAAACCACCAGACTTGAGTATGATTTCAAGCACTGGAAATACGACCCTAAATGCAAGGACTTGAGTATGATTTTCAGTGCAAGAGGAATTTTTAAGTGTTAACGAAATTTTCAGGTATAAATTAAACCATTTGGCTCAATTATTTTTTATTAGGCGTATTAAAAATCTTAATAAATAATTAAAAGAAGAGAAGAAATAAAACGAAGGAAAAGAAGAGAGGAGCAGGTGGTAGTATAGAGGATGGTTTTTTGACCCCGCTGAAGAGTGGATAACGTAAAATAGATGAAGTTTATTAGTATATTTACCTTAATTGTAAAAAATAAAATATTAAGACAATCACAAAAAAGTAAAAACAATATTAAAGGTACTTAATATTACATTAATATATTAATATTACTTAATATTTGTTTTATACAGAGTGGCCCACAAAAGGGATGTCCAGAGATATAATCTCTTGTTTATACATGAAATTACTTCATGTACGTATCGTCGCTTAAATGCTAAACCGCTGCATCACAAAAAATTTCAAAAATAATTTTATTGCAAACATGTGTTTAAAAACAGTCAAATTTTAATACTATACGAAGACTCCTGGCGATTTTATAAACAATGGAATTTCGCAAATGCCTGTTTGGCATTCTACACTTTCGTGGCTAACTTTTGAGCTAAACAGTTCTTTTGTGAGTTATGTCTGTGTGTACAAATTTGTAGCGCATTAAAATTCGCATCGTTTGAGTATAAATACATGGGTATTTAAAAATAAAACAATATTAAAAAATGAGGTCGAAAACTTTGATCGCCTCTCCTGTAAAAAAGTGAACTTTTGATATGCGGCCGTTTAGCATTTAAGCGACGGTATGTTCGGCCATATTTTCATAAAAATATTTTAAACTTAGTCGTGAGTTCCAACATAGCTCTATCTTTTATTTGCATTTAGGTAATCACTATGAAGAGCCAACCTTAAATTTTTGCCCCCTTCATTTTCACGATTACAAAATTAATTCGTTCGGGCAGGCTCCACTCGATTGTGTTTGTATGTTCGCCTGCCGTCGCCATTGTGTTGTTCAGGATATCGTTTTCTCAAAAAGTGGAATGTATTTTTTAATGTTAAGTAAAAAAAAAATATTTTGACTATTATAGGTATGGTTCGGTCGCGCTCACCGCCGCTGCCATTGCTGTGACGCCCAGGGTCAAGGCCCCCCTCTGCACCCCTCACGCCATCCCACTGTGAAGTGTACTCGCTCTTACAAAAAGTCTGTACCTACATGGTTGTCCAAATACGCACATATGTCGTTTAGATTTAGGAAACTAGAAATAATCGCGTTTTGAGCCATCTGTTATGTTACCCTGTACAATAGAAAGTTTTATTTTGTTCATGATTTTAGGTTACTGGATTAGTCGTGGTAGACTTGACTATAACACTTACAAACTTAGTCATGCGATTCTATTAGAATAACATTAATAAAACTAAAAAAACTTATTCAGCTAGGTCGCAAGTTTATACAAAATAAAATGTATAATATAAATACATCATTATTTACGTGCATTCTTAAGTAAATATAATCTATAAAATAATTTTATTTGAACACTCTAGTAAAATTAACTCGGTAGTACAAATTAAATGTAGAATACACTCATAACGACAGCAATGATCACAACAAAACTAGCTACCCCTCTGTTAGCACTGCTGAAGCAATCAAAGTCATTAATTTGAATCATATATCTGTTGTTGTAAGGGAATCTGCAGCGTTGATCTGTGAATGAAAAAACGGTATTTGATAATTCGCTATGAAATAATATAAAGATGAATGAATTAATATAAAGACGCACAGGTACGGTGGGTTCGTATTTCTAGTCGAGACAGGATAATGTAACGTTACACACTTGAGACGTGGTAACCGAATTTTATAGGCGTAGCTAGAATTTAAGTTAATTATTGTCATCGTCAGATTAGTATCGAATGTCCTCGAGCAGCACTTTGTAAATTCTCGAAGTTGTGTTTTTAAGGTTGGTTATGCCACAATGGTTATGCAACTCTACGTGACGCTTGTAAAGTTGGGTAGACTACTGCGACGATGCCCATGTCGCGTATTTGACTTTCCGATGAATTAGATATATACTAGGCTTGTATAGTTCATGAACTACGAACTACTAGGAATATATTCCCGACACTGACCGACATGAACTAGTTCACCTGTTTTTTGTTCAGTAGGAATGGTGCGAACGGGACAAATAGCGATCTTTCACTATTTTTAGTACAAGTTCGAGTGGGATGCACGATTGAACGTTGCCAGCTCGTTCTAAGTCTCTAATACGTATGTACATTATGTATATATACGAGCTTGCAAAAAAGTAATATGTTTTGGTAGGTGTGGTAGGTCTGTATGTATAATATCAACCTACGTGTACGACTATATGAAATACTTGTACCTAAATATTGATTTAAACATACCATTATAACTAAAATTCTTATTTTGTAAAAAAAAAAGGATATTTAGTTAGAATGACAGCCTTTAAACCTGTAAAATATGAAGGAAAATCAAATAGTACCGATTCCATACAAATTGTATTTTTAAATATTTGGTACAGTGTAGTATTGACCTCATAATACTAGAAGTCCGTAGTAGTTCATGTGAATAAAATGACTAGTTTGGAGCGTTCGTTCAATATCCGAGCAAGGACAAGACGAACTAACTAAGGAACTAGATGAATTAAATGAACTAGAAGACGACCTACTTCAGTTGACCGATTGAACTAACTAGGATCGCTTCCTTCTAAGGACTAATCAGGCACAAGTCTAATATATACACTTTTCCAGCTACCGTGCGAGTTTAAGACAAATCAGAAACACTTTCTTACGAGCGTTTCTTGAGAAAAACCGTATATAATTCTTCCCCTAGTGGATGTATTAAATAAGATTTTTAATGGCTTTCGGAAGGACATGTTACGTGCCCGAGTCTGAGTGATTATACGTGTATTACGAATTTTGACATTTAAGTAAAACTTAATCTAAGTATCCACGTGTCAAACAATTTCTTACCTGTGCAGATAGCACTTGCCGTTGATGCAGCAACTGCATTGGACTGAACTGAGACGTACAACAAAGGACAAGTGTTGATGGTCGAGTAACCAGAGCACGCATTCTGCAATCTAATTTCCACTTCACCCGACGCTGCTATTGTTTGACAGATCGTGTCGTCTTCGTTGTCGTTTACAGTACTATTTTGTCTATAAAAATAAATTTGATGCAGCGAGTTAATCAGTTCAAGTTGTATTATCTTCTTTTCGTGAATGCTATCTATAGATGTCCCAACACTCGGCGTCAAGCGGGTACAAAATTTATAGAACGAAAGGCGAGTTCTGTACCATATTGAAATTTTAAGTAAATGGAAAATCTTTATATATAACTTACTTACTCATTTTACCTCATGCAGTATTTTTAAGGAGTTGAAGCGTAAAAGGTAGCAAACATATTTTTTTATTTTTTTGTTTTACTAAATTGACAAGGACAAAAACTAGTTTCGTTCCCTAGGCGCCAAATATAGTGGTGTGGCATATTATGACTTTCCACCTTATAGGATAGTACTAGGTGAGATCAAAGGGTACAATGATGTGGTCTAGGATGTCGCTTTTTAATATTTTCAAAACTCGCTCAAGGAAGTGATATGTTACGATGGTGATGCGGTACCGGCTTTAGCTTTTTAATTTAGTTTTGTCGTTTCCATACCTGGGCTGAGTAATTCTGCGTGAATGACAAACGGTCAAGCTGCCTTGTCCAGAAGTTCTGCTGATGCGGACTCTTCGGTTGTCGTTATTTAAATAAAAGTAATTGGGGCTGACGGAGTAGAAGTTAATGAAGCCAGGCTCTACAAAGTCATCAAATTGTCTTGTGCCGGAAAGATTGCTATTATAAGTCGAGCCACATGTAGGGTTTATGATCCTCCTTCCAGCTAAAAGTAGTAATAAACAATGCGATTAATTAGGCTCACGATTGTAAAATCTCACTTGACATAAACTGAAGATGCGGAAGATTGTACACATTACGCTTAGAAGATTGATGTCTGTTCATTCTGGTCGTAAAAATGGTCCAGTAAACATAGTACACAGAACACGGAAAAAGTTCCACCATGTAGAAACAAAATTATACGTGCGAACACAGTTCGGGAAGAAGTGGACAAGATTATTTAATGCAGTAATTGCACACATTCCTAGAAATGTATTCCATGTTTTTTTTTTAATATCAAGCCACGGGACAAACAAGGCGTGCACCAGGTGATAAGCGACACGCCGACTCATATCAGTTTTTTTTTGTTTTTTTTTTATGTTATGTTTTATGTTGTAGTAAGCGTAACGCCTGTCCATAACAATTGCAGTGCCGCTCAAAGGGCACTGCCACTGCACCCGTCACCCTGGGACATAAGTTGAAAAGCCCCATGAGCCTATAAATTCACTAACACCCTTACCCTTGCAAAACTGGAACGCTGTAATGTTCGGCAGATATAATGGTTAACCAACAGCTAATAACATTGTGACTTATTTACTAGGTACATTGATTTGTGGTTTTAAATTTAATGCCTAACTGATTACAGGTAAACATATCATACAAGAAATGGCAAAAAAGCCTTTTTAGTTCTCTACCGTGCCACTCAGAGCTTTAAAACGCAATCATGTTAGGAGCACTGCCACTACACCCGCCACCCGAGGTGGCAGTACTTCCCTGGACGAACTCTTTCACAAGGAGCTCTACTGCTACCAAAATACCGTAAGTCAGGTTAATCGGCGACGATGTACAAGGTTGACGGTGTGCAAGGGTTAATATCCACGGGCAAGTTGTTGCCAAGTAGTACACAGCTCGACGCTCCAGCGAATCCAGAGCACCCAAGTGATGGTGGGCCATGGGGTGATCCATCAGAAAGACGATACTCCATACAAAAACGAACTTCAGCGTAATAAATATATAGGAGCTAGTCCTATGGAAATCCCGTTCGACTTTGAAAAGGACTTCGAACGTAAAGAGAAGGATAGACAGAGTTCTCACTTCATGGTCTAACACAAGCAAACTTTATTTACAAGTAACCCAACACCGGATATTGTAATAATTTATCCAGTAAATAAATCAATTTTTATTTTTCTTTATTTAATTTTTTACTATGTAGGAATGCATTTCCTTATGTAGAAAATATTTGTGCTTGTGAGCTTGTGTTTTCGAGACATTACATTTGCATTCGTCTTGGACGACGAAACGATCCACAAAGAAAAAGGAAGATAAGCATTTGAATGACACTTATTTTCACGTGAAAACGTTAGGAAGCTTCTATATACTTACTTTGTTGTATTCTGTCAACTACCCTGGACATTGAAGTGGCAACACTGTTATCGGATCCAGTAAGAGAAACGGTCATAATGTCATTGTGCATATCCCGAACAAGAGTCCACAAATTGTCAAACTGATTCGTTGATGTGGCAAACAATATCCTAAGATCTGTAAATGAAAAAAAAAAATGTTCATAAGGTAATTATGGTTAAATTACCTTAAATCTAAGACATTCAATAATAAATCGGTTTCTACATATAATATAATACAAATGAGTGTGTAATGAAAGAAATAACAACTTTCAATACAATATCAAACGAAAAAATCACTAATGGGATATAATCATTTAGTTATATAACAACTAAAGGCATAATTTGACTAGCTAACATAATGTTTTAACGTTAAGCTTTACCAATACGTGAATATAATAAATTATTTAGTTTTACAATAAGTTCAACAAAAGGGATTGATGAAATATTAGATAATAAAATTGGTAATTAATTATATTTTCTTGTGAATTAATTATATTTTAGTGCACTAGGCATTGGGTATATTTTAAAAAACTGACACGCAATAACATATTTTTGTTTAAGTATAGGCATAAAAGCTTTTAGTTCAATAAAATGTTTCGATTAGAACTTTAAAGGGAGTATTTAATTGCATATAAAAAAAATAACAAATCAAATTATGTTCATTAAAAATATTACGGTTTGCATACCAAAAATAATACTGACTGAATATTTGTGCCGCTGCCGTACGCACGCTCGGGTACAACGTATAGTCGCAATTCTAATCTAATCTAAAGAAGTATCAGTTTATAAGATTAATTTTAATGTTCAATCATTATTTTTGGTATAAAAAGCATATATTGCCATTATTTTCGTTATTAAGTGGCTTCTATATTCCATTATATATTCTATTTCGAACATAATAAATAGGTACTCCTCTCGCTATGTTCATTGTCGCATATGTATTTGGTTCTGGTATTACATTTATAATACGTTATACACAATCGTATATTATACCAAGTGATACTTATATTATACAGTATACGTCATATATCTTTTTAGACAATAAATTAATCACGTGACTTTAGCCTTATTTTCACCAATAATTTGTCATTGGTTGTTATATCAAATGGCAGCACCCACATACAGATAATAAGGACCTATCTAACACATAAATTATGTTGTAAATGAGGACCCGTATGACCTTACCGGGTACAGTTTCGTTGAGGATCCGAGCTTGTTCAAAGGTCTGCTGGGAACTCTGGACTTGTCCATGGAGCAGAAATAGTAGGACCGTTGAATTACCACCTACGTAGTTACTGGTCCGTTCGTGATCGAGCTCATTGTGCATCATTATACGCACGTTTGTTAGGGTGGTCTCCAAGTTTATAGAAGTCATCACTGCAATTAAAATACTAGTAAGTTAATCTCGTAAATGCTGACAGAGTTTTGAAATATGTAAGCAGTTTTCATAAAATAGTAGCAAATACGCTGGGCAATAACGTAAAGAAACGCACTTGCTTGATGTCTTGTTGCTGTATATTCAGTATGAAAATCTGCCAATGAGAAAGTCTTGTTCACGACAATACTTCCATCGGCAGCACTTAAGAGAGTTATACTGGACCCAAACTTGTTGACTTCGATGATATCCACCAAGTGAGAAATAGCAGGGTATACGGTGAGGTACGGCCACGACCCATCCAAAACTATATAGAGGTTTGTTGCAAGACGATAGTCACGGAGCGTGTTTTGTGTTGTTACACAATTTTGATCATTCAAATTACTAGCTGAAAAGAATATAAAAAAATTAGAGTTTGTAGCGCTTAGTTCGGATGATATTAGACTACAGTGATGCTAGTTTATGCATAAGCTAAGTAGTAAGTACCTGGGAATAATATTTTATTGACGCAACATTTATGTATTAAAGTTAGTGCTGCTGTACTAAATGCCATTTAGTATGTTAATAGACATCATTCACCCTTTTCTACCACTGTATACGTTATTTGTGAAAATAATACTCTCGATTATTGTGAGTAAAGTGCGAAAGTGTTCCGATCGTTAACGTGTCGTGGTACACAACAACACAACAGAACATCAAGCTTTTTTTGTTTGAATATCGTCTCCAGTGCAACGGAACAAAATTCGTCAATGTGTAGCTTGATTGTCTGTACAAATGGCCTTGGGTGTTGTTCACCTTGAAATAGCTTTATAGTTATGAAACATATTAATTGAATATTAAACAAAACCAAAATTAAATATTTTTTAAACTTGAAAATAGGATACAAATACATATATACAATAATTATGTATTTTAACATAATTTAAAATAATATTGCAGAAAAAAAAAATTAATATTGGTTACACTACTTTGCACATGTGGCTATGATGCCTCAATTGTTATGATAAAAAACGTGATATTAACAATATTTTCACAGAGTAAGATGCTTCAGTTTTTAAGTTATGTCATTGACTTTTATTACGTTACTCAAATGCACTCAGATGTCAAAATTGCGATAGACTTTTATGGATCAGTTACCTATGGGTAGCTGTCGAATTGTGACTACGGGATGAAAGTCAGCTCAATGACCGCTATTGACATGCTAAATGGAACAAACTATGTATATGAGTTTTAAGTGATATTGTTAAAAAATCCACATAGAAAATGTTTCGAGAATCCTATCCTATCTGTATAAATATCCAAACTTAACTTTCAATAGGGTATGCGCAAGAAAATGCAGAGACACGTATGCAATATACGTATTAGTGTATGTAATCACTTTGAGACACTGACTTGCCTTCGTGACTTAACAGATTTCTATTTCTTTCAACTTACTCATATAGGATTGGAAGTTATTGACAGCGCTGCTTACAAGTTGATCCAACCCGCCAACGATAGTTCCACGCAAAGGAATGTTAGAATCTAAAGCAGCGGCGAACGCTCGAGTTTCTGCAGTTAAAGTATTCATTGTTATGTGTGTTTCACCCAACGCCTGTCGGTTGCAAGCTCTCATTTCTGATTGGAATACTCCGTTCTGAAAGAAAACAAAACGAGTGAATTATGCGGATTCAAGTCATTTATTTTACATAAAACGATATGTTCTTTTAAAGGTCTTACCAGTGGAGAATAGTACATGTCCAAAACCTGCGATAGTTTTAAACCGTTATAAATGTTTAATGCGGATTGGATAACTGTTCCCAAAACGAAACCATCCACATCTCCTCTGATTTCCGGATCAGTCATCTGGACATTAGTGCTAGACTGCAGCATTAAGTATCTCCTTGCTTGTGTACTATTCCAACCACCAGCGACACCAATGGAAACAGAAGTAGCACTGCCTCGTTCTGTGCCCTGGATGAGGGCAGCTTCCGCCAAATCACCTAAAATTTACCACAACATTTAAAATAAAGTCACATGTGAAGTTAATCGAAAGGCAACGAGCAGCGAGTGAAGCTTTCTTGGCATTCACCCAAATTGTACAATTTTCGAATGGGAATTACTTGGTCCTTTCTAACTATATACATGAAATTTGAAACTAGCAGATACAGATCGTGACAAACTCAAAATTTTGAATTTCGTTCTGTGCGCTGACCATGATTTTTAAGTCTAAGGGAAATATACTCGACGGCAAAATTTTGCGTACGCAAATGTGCAAAGTTGTGAAAAAGAAGAAATAATGGATGTTTCGCTTAGTAGTCTGAGGACATTCTGTTTTGTCACTTATTTATCAAAACTTATCTTTTGTTATATTTAATCATTTTTATTACCTGATAATGTCGCCGGGAAAATTGGAGTCACAGTCTGTTGAACATTTCTGTAATCATTTAAATTTACTGATCCCCTTGTTAGGTCCGAAATGGGGACTTGCTGAGGCTGTGTTCCCGCTGCGATACCTGCAATAACGTGACCAGCCGACACGGCTCCCCACGGAGTACTTACTACACCACCTAAAAGTGGACACTGACTGTTCGCCAGTAGTTGGCGTTCTGAAAACGAATTTCCATAGTTCTGAATCTCCACGTCGTCGTCTGGCTTGTGTTCATTGATTTGACCATTCTCATGGCCATTTTTTCTAAAATGTTTATAGAAAATATTAATTTTGTAGCGCTCAAAGTTTTCTTCATATATTATTCGATTATCGAAAAAAAATACTTACATGAGGGAAGGATCTAGAATCTCTACATCGTCATTTATAGAACGAACATGTCTCCATATACGGTACTGTGAAAGTTGATTGCAACTACTTTCGTCACCTCGAACCCGAAAATCAACAGTAGTTGATAACATATGATGAAGAGCACACTGTAAAGAAATTCTCATTAATCATTGAACTTTCTAAGGTAACAACACAGCTGGTACCTCAGACTGTAAAATTTTTACCTTTAAATCTGATGAGATAGTGTCATTGTTCAGAGATTGACTACCAGATGCCTGAATTATTCTCGTTACAAGTAGACGGTGACGGTGAAATGAGTGAAAGGTGGGTGAGAAGAGCAATACATTTGCTAAATTTACGTTTTCTTGTGGATGGAACTCAATGCCATCTTGTCTGTACCTGTAATATCACGAAATACTTAGTGCATATTTATCACAAAAATTATATTTTATTAACATGAAATAATAAACTCATAGTACGAATAAGAGCTCGTTTCTGTCATCATCAAGGGCCCCTGAACTCCATAAACATACCTACTTTGTGTTGAACTTCTTTTCTACACCCCAAAACACTTTCAAATTTTAAACAATCCACTTGAACATGTTTCCGTATCACCTTACCCTTATTTTGTGCTACCATCAAAACGGTCCAGGTCCGGCTCATCACCACCGTTGACCGTCAAATCACAGATCTGGCCCATTACGAGAAGAGGTGGGCGTTTAAATGAAAAACACTTTCAAAGTTTGTTTTTTAATATAAGCACACAATCACGCTTATAATTTTAAGTTGTGAGCGTTGCTCAATACCCAACATTTAAATTTTCTTCAACGTGAAAAAAATGAATTCGTCAATAATGTTATAAATTTGTGTTTCACTAATAAACTTACTTATCCGAAAAGCTTTAGTGGCCTACTTTTCGCTGTAAGCACAATGTTGCGATATTTTTTTAACATAAAGTATCTGGGCTTAAAGGTTTTTCTAAACGATTTTGTAAGCTTCAAACCAAAAAGTGTTGCTTTTATATGCTCCTTATTAAAAAAAGTACAATGTTTTAATATCATCGGGTATATTTAATATTTACAAATAAGCAGTTTTTTCTCCATCTCTTTTCAATCCATGACAATTTGAAGAACCCACTACAAGCCTACCCAATGTCTCTAGAAAAATCATTGCGCGTTTCTGTAGGGAATCTTTTTAGCTGGTAACTAGCAACCACGACGGCGAATAGTATGTGAAAGTATATAATAGTACTGAACAGCTCGATTTCTTTTATCTCCCTTCCCCAATTTGGTGTCGTAGTACTCCAAAACAACATCAACATCAAGGACCCCGGAACCTCTTTTGCCCTGAAACGAAGCGAATCTCGTCTTCCTTTCTATGTGTATATTTTTTTAAATTTGATAGTGTGCAAAAGAAAAACTATATTTGTCCAGTTTCTCTCCTATATGGATTTTCCTTTTTTGTACACATGAAAGATACGTTTTTACTTACGTGTGGAGCAGCAAGACAGATAACTGTCTCAAGTCAAGGACATTGTTGGGATTATCCTCAATCTTTCTAATGATATCGATGAGTACTGGCATGGTGGCCGGTGGCAAATTGTTCCTGTTCAACAGTGTTACATTCATGTAGCACTCGCGTAGTTCGGGCGCTACACTTGACATCGCAGTCGGCACTGTTTGCGCTGACACACCAGTAGCGGTCAGCATCAGAACCGCTAGCCAATACATTGTTATACCTGAAATAAACAAAATGGATAGAAATTATATCATAACCTATTCATCAAAGTTATAGTGATTAATAGCAAAGGTATCAAGACAATATTTTTTCATGCAGTTAATTTTCCTACTGCATGAAAAAATATTCAACACAATTCACTGGGTTCGCGGAGTAGCAAAGTAACTTAATAACATTTTTATTAATTTGCAATTCCGTAAAGTAACGCCGGTATCTATAAATTGCATAATTATGTATCAAAAATACATAAACTTAGATAAATAGACAGTGTCTTATCTACATTTAAATTTTGTTTACTTTATGCACGCCTTAATTATCTCATGACTTTTAACCTCACATTTTCTCCTCTTCCTCTTTTAACCTCACATTTGCACAAACGTGCAAATAGGTTTTATCACAGTTATGTATGTAACTACCTACATACGAGTATTCGTAATATCAATACACGTATTAACATTCCACAGGTAATTTGTATTTCCGACTCTTTGATACCTTTTTATTCTTATATTCCGTGTTATCCGTGTATGAAGTACAAATCGAATATGTTGACAGCAGTATCGAAATTTCTATTTAACACATCCTCCCATCGGCTTTATTATTTAATCTAGGTTAAATATTATTAATATAATGTTAATTAACGACATTTTTATATTATTGTATTCAGCCAAGATACAAACCATAGCAAAACGTAACGTAGAGTAGCGTGCAAAGTAGTAGAAGTTGCCCAGACAAAATACTATATATAAGAAAACACCAGTATAGTTTTGACTGCAATGAAAATCATATTTTTACGTACTTACAATGAGTAATGTAGTAAATACGTAGCAAACTAATTAGAGGAATTAACAACACAACGCAAACAGTCGTGACTTCGTTGGTCTAAATTGAAAGTTAAAAAGGCGACATAGCGAAAGTAATATTTTTATGTAGCAGAATTATGTTTGTTTTTGTAGAGATTGACAATAGGCTTGCTGTTGGTTTGTGAATTGATTTTTTTTTAGTCTGGTAATCTACGGAGATACTTAAAACAAGTCCTGAATAATATAATTGATTAAATGGATGATTCAGTTTAGATTAAATTTCTATATAATGTTGACTAATTAAGTAGCAAGGAAACCTTATTCACCAACTTAGGAGTAGGACATTTAATGAAATAAGTACATTATGTCTTACAGTATTTCCTGCGTACGTTTAAATGGAATATTTTTTTAAAATATCTATGTACACAAATTACGTACCTGTCATAAGTTAATGCTGTTAAAACTATAAAAAATGTGACAAAGCGTGCATAATATGCCAAAGTTTATCTTATCAGATATCACATATCATATCATGGAATGTATTACTGGAAATGGTCACGGAAGTGGAAATAATTTTAGTGTTTTAGAGTTACATGCTTATATCCGTTTTACTCATAGATTGTTATTTTACGGATCCTATTAAGTATGATAAGAATATATATGAATTTTAATTTAATTAGTAAACTTTAGCAAGAATCAGCATCACGAGCAAATAAATATTTAAATAATCATTCACAATCAATAGCCAACGCATTAAATACTTAGTTATAAAATAAAAATGCGGGATCCTACTGTAGTATTCACTTAATAATATGAAACTACGAAACTACTATATTTAAATCTTATCTATAGTTGAAATATCTAGAAGGTTATCCAACAAGATTTGTTTGTTTGCATTAGATTTGGTAAAAAAGGACGTTAACGTTTATTTCTACGATATAAAAGTAAATTTCTTAGCAATTTTGTAACATTGCAACATTTATTATTCGTGAGACCATAAATTACAAAAATGAAAACAAAGTATGATCGATGTGAAAAGATAACGTAACACGATGTCGTTGATGTCTTTTGTGCGCTAAAGTACTCAAAGTTTGGTCGACCATTTTAAGGTTGCACATACCTAATGTGAATGTGTAAATGTGCATATTACTTTCTTATCTACGTAAAAAATCTCTTACATTTTTACTTCTTTCACTTATCGTGTTGATGCTTCTTTTGTTTTACGATTATATTAACTTTGAAATGTATGAAATGAAACTATTTTTCCGGATTTAAAACGCGTATATTTGTTTTTTCAAACAAACCGAAATTTCGGGCCCTGTATAGGTCCCATGGTCATGGTTGACTGAGGTGGTACAGTCATCAACCAGTTATGTCTAATATTAATGCAAACCACCCTATTTTTTCAGTATAGTTACAAAAGTTATTAATTAAATACCTTATTTTTAATTTTACAAAGAAACATTCCAATTTACGCTACATTACGTTTTACAAATTATTTTATTGAATGAATTTTTATTAAGTTCAATTTATGATTAATAATAGAAATTAGAATAAATTAAAACACATTAATTAGTACTGCAGTCTTATGTCTGTTTGGGATTTTTCATGAGAGGAATTAGTAACTGAGGAGATTAATAACTATTGTAACTATAGTGAAAAAATAGGGTAATTTGCATTAATATTAGACGTAACTGGTTGATGACTGTACCACCTCAGTCAACCGTGAGCATGGGACCTGTAAAGGGCCCGAAACGTCGATTTGTTTGAAAAAACAAATATACGCGTTTTAAATCCGGAAAAATAGTTTCATTTCCTATGTGTAACAATCGCGAAAACCTAAGAACTCGATTTGAAATGCATGTTCTCTCGTGGCCGTGTAAAGGTCTTACACGAAGGGCACACGAGCAAGTGCTGCATGAACATGATTGGGGCACCACAGTCACATCGGGTTAGACTGTCATCCTTGAACCCTCATTTACACTTCAAATCTCTGAAGCAACCTACCCGGGGCGAAGTCAATTCAAGGACTTCCACACGGCCGGTTGCAGACCGTAAAAAATTGTATTTTTTACTAATTTCTCAAAAAATAGATAAAACTGTAAAAGTACATTTTCCGCTTATTTCATTATTATTTAAGTATGTATATTTATTACAAAATGTACTTCTAGAGTTTTATCTATTTTCACTGTGTATTTATGATTATAGAAAGGCCGTGCCCTTATTACGAATGATATCTAATCTAATGAGCGTTTACAACTCTACGAAAAGTGGTTTTTTTTTATACCTATGAATATGTAGAATGTGAATAATGCTTATACCTATACTTATACCTATACTTATTTTTTGCTTTTATTCATTTTCTCTATGGTCACGCGCAACAAGTTGGTTGGTCTGATAAAATACAAGTAGACGTTCCATAAATATTAGTCATCAATAAACTTGAGTAAATTACGTAAAACCTACAGGCTGATCCAATTAGTCGGTGTGCATTATCTGTTTTCATGTAAATTAATAATTACTTGTTCTATGTGTTTTTACGAAACGAGAGAATTTCAATATAATAATATAATTCGTTATAGAAGCGATACGATAGTATTATCGAGTCATTTACAATATGTAGCTACTCGTGTATATTTTATGACATTTAAACAACTATAGTATTTTATTTAATAGTTGTATTTCGCCATGCATATGAATCATAAATGACAATATTATGGTACAGTGAAATAAATATACCTAATATCCCTTTGTTGCCCGTGAAACTACCAGCAGAACTTCTAGTAGTTCCACGGGCAATAATAATCTCCCGTGGTACTACCGGAACAACTAGTAGTTACACGGGCAATAATAATCTCCCGTGTAACTACCGACAAGCCTAGTACTACCACTACTAATACGGGCAATAATACTTTCCCGTATTACTACCAAGATAAGAAGCGTTTTATTAATTTCATAAAACAAACGAACCAAAAGCCAAACAATACAATAATAACTGAATAAATGAATAAATAAAAAAATAAAAAAATAAATAAATAACCTAACCTCAGTATAGAGTACTAAAAAAACCAACCTCAAAAGTCATTAATGCCCTAGTTTACCATCCTTAGAGGTGGAATATTTTCTTCAAATTTAAATAGGACCACTTCTGGGGTACCCTTTTACCAACAAAAAAAGAATCATCAAAATTCATTCACAAGAGTAATGGCGTAACATACCTCCTCCTTTTTTTGGAGTCAGTTAAAAATGCATTTTAACTAGCAAATACACATCAATCTTTATTCTTATTCAACTTTAGAATTAAATCCAAACTCATGGTACCACCATTTCGTTTAACTAAGGTAAACGATTCTTTTATGGGGAACTGTATACGTGTTTACGTTAAGATTCCGGAGCATATGTTCAGATTACCATTTTCTAAGTTTAAAGCTTACTAAAACTATTTGAATTGAAAAGTCGTATTACAAAATTGAAGACTACGTGCTAGATAAAGATGTATAAAAAGAAGACATGACTCTAAATTCCACACAAATTCAACTACTACCAGGCCTGTCGGTCGTTACACGGGAGATTATTATTGCCCGTGTAACTACTGGTAGTTCTGCTGATAGTTCCACGGGCAAGAAAGGATAATATCAACCTTATCTCTTTGTCTATTTATTTTTAATACGGAATAAAGACGAATACTAATATTCATTTATACTAACTATGATTATGCTTATATAATAGAAACAATGCATTAATAACCTAAATTAATTGTAAGTTCTTGGTAGTAACCTATTTAAACGACTATAACAATTTTTTCCAACAGAAAAAAGTTATAACGTAAAACCTACGTTATTAATATCATTAAAACGAATAATCCCATATCTATAGAACTTTGCTCATGTACTCTACATAATATTTGAAACGTAACGCATGACTCACCTTTATGTTTTACTATACGAAGATCGTATCCAAAAAGATTATAGATTTATCTTCACAACGACGTCCTTCTGTATAAAAATCACAGTTCGAACTTTTAAAATAATAAAAAAAAATCACAATAATATTTGAAAGATTTAGCGAGTCCAGGCGCGGCTGCCTCGCTGACTTACACAATATAAAAAGGTACAGGTGCTTTGATAAGATAATGGAAACAGGTCTAGATAAATTTGTAATAAGTGACAACCATAAGTACAGTCACCTATAAAATGGGTTTCCTATGTTTAGCAATGTTGGTACTTTTTTAAGAAAGTCGACGATCTTTTGTCACTGTTAAATTTTTACAAAGGAAAAGTGTTAGCTATATTTTTGATTTACTGTGTAGCAATTGTCAAAATTTTGTAGTGAATAGTTTTGATTCTTCAGCCACTTACAAAACCTATTACCATATAGACAGTATTGGCATCACATCACCGCATCCTACCTGCGCTTCTAACTATAAAACTCATTATGTGAATGAATCATCATCATATCTTCCCTTACAGTAGCGGATTTAAGTTCCTTTTTTTAAATTTTACTTACTTTAATAATTACAGAGATTTTCTTCTTCTTTCTTCACTTTAACAGTGTAATTCGCACGACAAAGTGACAACTTTCAGGTGGGAAGTTTAAAGGTAAAACGAAACTAGTCGATCACTTTTTTATTCTTAACTAGGAGAGTAGAGTTATACAATTTCACATATACATAATTTGTTTCGTGTAGCTCCTATTCAATTTAAGACTTTCGTGTGATAAGCATATAAGCACTTTTGGCGTATGTTCACACGTGGCTTCGGGCTGACAGTACCTGCTCAACGTGTTATCTTGGTGTATATTTTTCGTTAGCGATTACAGTGATAACGCCTGGTTATATGGAATTGAGTATGAAGTCATCCTGATATTGCCAATTACTTCAGAAACCAATTGTTAATTCTATTCAACTAAA